AGTTTCCTGCTCCAAAAAACAGGAAAATAAATGCTTTGAATGGTGTTTACAAATCTGTTTTTGTTTGTATTTGTAGTAATAACTGTGACCGCAATGTGATCAAAAGGGAAGTCGTCAAATCATCTGATAATCTGAACTCTTACCAGAATCAGATGCACCTTCAGGTTTGTCACATGAATCCTAATAACAGACAAAGAGAGTGAAGACCAGCTCCTGTCTGCACTCACAGATCGTCGTCTAATCTGTCTTTGAGTCTATTTTTGGTAAATGAAGCGGAAGAAATGATCGTCCTGAATCAAATGAAATTAAAGCCTCTTTCACCTTCTGTCTCGTGCCGGCGTCTCCGATGTTTAAGATCCATAAACACAATTCACACGTCATGAGAAGGAGACGCTGAGGCCTCACTTTAATCAGGCAGCGGCGTCTCAGCTAACACCAGCTGAGCCGAGGTGTTGATAATATGTTTGGATGAGGTGTGACAGTCGCTGCATGAAGTGAACTGTTTGACGGCTGGGCGGGTTCATGAGAGGCGCACAGCGGAGCGGCTAACCTCCCTTTCTTTTAAACATTTCTCTAATGTGCTTTTAAAATCATCTATATTTAGAGTGATCATAATATATCAATATCAACAGTTAGCATTCTTAGCTAGCTTGTCTTCCATTTTATCTGAACAGTCCCTTAATTTACTGACTCTGCACTCCTGGTAATAGTCTGGCACATAGCCCCTAACTAACGAGCGCCGCTGCCCCAGAAGTGGACCTCAGTTCATCTCTTACATTGTGTAGAAACTACGTCGTCTCATGTCTCATTCAGCAGTAAATAAACTCACAGTATAAACTCTGTCATTGGTGACGTGCTTTGAGTGTGAGCTAGAGTACACAAGAGATAGAGAACGAGCAGGGAGACAGGAGGCGTGTGATTGGTTCATCAGATTGGTATCTCGTATCAGACATTGGTCAAAGTTTTTACAGACTTACAACTGTTACAGATGATGGATTTTCTTTGTTCCTTTTTCAGAGAACATGAGTTATTAATTTCTGTCAGGACCTAAAGACAATTTCAACCAAAATCTTAAAGAGTGGATCTGGAGGGAATTACCAACCCTGTCTTAAATGCTAAACAAACTGTCACCCTGTGTCATCAGTAGACTGCTGATTATAAAGATCAGGTTTGTAAAAAATCACATTACAGGAAAGCTTCTCGGTTATTGGACGCTGTTAAAGTTAATTTCCCTCCTCGTCACTGTCATTATCAATCGATCGACTCGCCAGCCGTCAATCAGCTTCCATAACCAGAGGCGTTTAGAGCAGACCACAGATATTCTGCTTTGGCTTCAGGCGACGACCGGCAGCTTTAACAGATCCAGTCTGGCACACTGACACATGTTCAGCAGCCCCCCCCACACACGCGCGCACACACACACACACACACACACACACACACACACACACACACACACACACACACAACACACACACACACACACACACACACACACACACACACACACACACACACACACACACACACACACACACACACGCAGCCATCATCCGCTATATATTTAATCACTCCGCTATCATGTACATTACTGTTAATGGAGTGCGGTGTTGATGGGAGGTGAGGAAAAGGAGGAGGGAGGAGGGAGGAGGGAGGAGGGGAGGGGAGGGGAGGGGAGGGGGGAAGATTAGTTGCTGGTGAGATGTCTGGTCTCCGTGGAGACGGATGGTGCTGAAAAAAAAGCAATTATCTCTTCCTTGCTAAAGACGAGAACAGGATGTTAGAGCGGCGCGGGCGCTGTAAGTGTGTCACCAGAACACAAAACATTTTATTCAGATTAGCAGCAGTTGTTTAATACATTATGGAGATGATTCATTAGGAGATGCCGCTCGCATTTTTCCTGCATTTATGAGTTCTTGTGTTGAGATTTGGAGGTAATTTTTCATATTTAATGGAAACAATGCAGCGGGTGTACAACACATGTTCTCTGACGTGCCCCCTTTCACACAACACATCCTGACATTTTTACACACTGTCAGAACCCGGAACATTTCTGGAATTGTCTTTCACACGTGTTGGACTCACTCTCTCAGCTTGAGGAGGAGGGCTGGTTTGAGTGAGGAGGAGGAGGAGGAGGGGAGGAGGGGAGGAGGAGGAGGAGGAGGAAGAGGGGGAGGAGGGGAAGAAGGAGGAGGAGGAGGAAGAGGAGTGTATTATCATGCAGGAAGTCAGCTGTGTTGCCAAGTCTTTCCTCCCATTAGACAAACAGCTCAGACAGGTGCTCTCTCCCTCTGAAAGTCTGTCTCACTTTCTCTTAAAAACACTACATTAAAATCACACAAAGTGGCCATCTGCCCTCTTGACAGAACGGGTCCAGAGACGTGCTCCCCCGCCGGGCGCTGAGATCACTGCCATGTTGCTCCTTGACCACGCAGAGCCCCAGCCCCGTTCATCCTTCAACAACAAACAGCCTGCAGTGTGTGACTGAGTCCTGGCGCCAATCCAGAGAGGTGACCCCCTCCTCTCCAAGGAGGCAAGAGAGATACCCCCCCTACACACACACACACACACACACACACACACACACACACACACACACACACACACACACACACACACACACACACACACACACACACACACACACACACACACACACACACACACTGACAATGTAAGCCTTCCCGGTCTCTGAGTAAAAACCCAGGCGGCCTAACCTTCCTCCTCTGAACACTCAAAAAAAGACTCTGAGTGAAAAACAGCTCACATGGTGTACACCAAGACAAAACCCGTACCATCCACCAGATTCTCCCAGAGGACATTTTCATCCGACGGCAGGCTGTGTTTCTGCCATGTGCCATCTTTGCAAATATTATCTGATGTTTTGACAAGCTGAGGGGACAACAGCTAGCAGGGCTGAGCTCTCACTCTCTTTAATAATACACACAAGAAAACTAATCTTCAAATGCAGATTGTGTTACATTTTGCTGTACGAGTGAAATCAGGGCGGAGCATTCACATTAAGAGAGCTTTAACAGACAGAGGGTGATATCAGATCTATGTGTATATCAGGTGTCTCATATCCACGGCTCAAACACACACACACGGCAAAAACAATCTCTCTCTCTCTCTCTCTCACACACACACACACAATCAGCATCACATACAGACACACGCTAACTTGCAGCTACATCATAACAAATATTAATTGTCAGCTGGAGGTCTGCAGATATGTCCTGCTGTTTTTTTCATGATTGGAGGGGGGCAGACAGATCAGACAGGCATGTCTGCTGTTACCATGGTGATTTCAGATGCTGTCTGTCAGTTTGTGCCGGCACAATCAGGAAAAAAAAAAGTCCTGAAGTCGGAGGCTCGTGGCTCTGCTGTCACTCTGTGAGTGAGCGAATGTGCGCGAAAATCATCCGACCGGTCAGAGCGGCTGATCGAGCCGTGATCGACCTTCGTGCCTCGGTGTACACTGAACGACTGACGATGCACGATCGAGATAAATTTAGGCCTGACTGAAGAATTAGTCATATGAAAAATCGTGTCCATACAGTCTGAACTCTTCCTGTGGACGCCTGGCCTAAATCGAGTAATTTTAGGCCAGGCATCTGACCCCGGTAGAAGTGTAAATGAGTGACAGGTGTCATGGCCGGCCCCCTTGATCTGCTGGACATATGGGCTAATTTCATTCAGCCTACAAGACACCAGCTTTTGACCAATGACACGACAGCTGAGAAACAGACTGCAGAGATGGTAAGAAACTAACTTAGAATCTCTTACCTTTATATGCGATTTTTTGATCCAGCAGATGTCGCCCTTGAGCACCAGCATGAAACCAAAACAACTCGCGGTGCATTGTTGTGTTAGCATGCTAATGCTAGTGATCTTTATTATGCTCGTATCTTCACACTGCATGTAAATTTACCTGGAATGAGCGTGATCTAGAAACACAGTTAAGCAGTGAGTACAGTATGTTATTCTTCTTTTCTCTAGTCCCTCAATTAAACAACTTTTATACACGAGGGGAGGAGTCAATCCGGATGTAAACAAACTGAAGATAGGACTCGGAAAACTCGGACAGTGGGACTCAGGTGTTACACCCATTGTAGACAGTCATGACTCACGGAGTTATTTTCAGAGGATATACTTGATTTCTATTATATTTAAGTGTGAAAAATCACATATAAAGCCTTTAAACAATTTTACTGGACATCACAGGGATCGCAGTGCTAATTCTGTTAGCCTTTTAATGACAATTTCCATCATGCGTTAGCATCAAGCTAACAAACTAAGCTGTTCATCAAGGCCCATCTGTCAGAAATTGCTCCGACCCCTGGAGAAAAATGCACCAGCCTGGGGCGTATCTGGAGGGGTGGCATGTTTTTGAGTCCCTAAAGAATCAAGCTAAGAAGATTTACATGTTGCAAAGTAAGAAGTCTTGACACGCCCCTGGTGCCAGTCCCCACTGGAAATCTGACCAATAGTTATCCTTTCACCACTTCTTGAGAAAACAAGCCGATCACATCTGGTCACAGAGAGCTGAGCTGCTCTGACCGTGATAAGGAAACAGAAAGATTGGTCACCTCCTCATCACATCACCAACATGCTGTTTAACTTCAAGGCGAGCTCAGTCACCAAACACAGCCACCCGACCTGTCCTCAGAGATTTAAGAGCTCCCACATGCAAATAGACACAACATATATGATGCTTTATTCCTCGGTATGGAGGTGGAGACAGAGCAGATATAGAGTTATGAAAATAAAACAATAGAAAACGTGAGAGAGGGAGAGGAGAGGAGAAAGTGAGCAGGTGTGAGACGGAGGGAAATGTGAGAACAGCGCTCTGGATAAGAAAAAAGGTGTGATTGCTTGATGTGATGGGTGAGGTATCGGGGGGGAGACGCTGCCTCTGTTGGAGGAGGATTCTGTGTTCACATCTCTTTTTATTTCTTGTAGAATATGAAGTCTTTACATCAAAGAGAAAACACACTCACCTGTGCAGTCTGTCCTCCAGCAGCTTCATGTACCTGGAGGTGTTTTCTTTCAGACAGCTCTCTGTGAAGAGAAGAAATCAGCGTCTTACTTTCACTTCATTTACTTCTTTCATTAACTGAGATAGCCCATCGTAGTGTCTCTTAGCGACTTCTAGCAGTAGCAAGAAATGACAGCTTAAATAAAAGGACAACTAACAAACCTTTAATACACGTTTTAAGAGGTCTTTATTCTTTATGACCCAAAACAGACAGAGACAACAACATCACCACCAGCCAGGCATCTCGCCTTTCCCCACATCCAGATGAACAATATTTATTATGAATCATGAAGTTTGTGTTTGTGCATGTAACTTTCATATCCTGATATTAGACTCCAGGATAAGCCCTCATCATGATTTTGAGAAACCCAATTTCGCTACCTCAAAGACGCTGATACTGTTGCATGTATACGGCTAACCCCTGTTTCTGACCTCCACCGACTTCCTGTGCAGACCTGGCCTCAAACCACAGTCTGTAAACATGATTGGATGAAGCCTCAGTGACGTCACCTATCTGTTCCTGCAGGGGGCACTGGAGTCCCATCGATGGCGGTCTCCATGCTGGAAATGCTGTCTCAGTCTAACTTTCAGTCAACCTAACAACAGGCTGAGAGCTGGAGCTGAGGCGGGTTTTAAACCTCCTGACAAACTGTTACACCTCGCCCACCTGTCAATCAGGTCAGCTACACGCCTTATTGTGAATAACTCTTATCCTTCATCAAATCAAAACTGATGAGTCATCAAAACATTCACCCCCCCGAACAGTGTTTGTCGATCGAGACATGAGCTAATCACATCTATTTGTTTTTTTGAACCAGGCTGTAAACATGTTAATCTCTGCTTTTTTGAATGGGTGTGTATGTGACTTCCTGTGCTTCTGCAGCCAGCCTCTAGTGGACACTCAAGGAACTGCAGGATTTTACTCTTCTGCATCATCTTAGTTTTTTAACACCGGAGATTGCTGCTTGTTCCCAACCAATTTCCCTACAGCCAATCATCTTATTTTGCCTGTATCAGTTTAAATGCAACATACAGGTCCGTATACAAATCAACATTAAATAAACAAATACCTTTGATTGTGCAGTACCCACTTCTAGAATTAAAACAGTTCAGCTTCAATGCAAACCATTAAAGTTTTTTTAAGTGCGTCCACATATTCTCTGCCTGATGAAACCATATGTAATGAGCTGTACTGTGCGCTCGCTCTCTGATAAAAAGACAGAAGTCCTCACAGCTGGTGACGGCATTGTGCATAGAAAGTGAAACAGTACAGTGGAGTACAGTCGCCCAGCTGGCTCTCTGTTCAGACAAACACACAGCGGAGGAGAGATGATTCCCCCCTGCTGTAAGACGGGATAGAACGGAGACGGCCCGGGGATAAAAAGGGATTCTTTTATGGCGTATAGGTCCTCGTAACGTGCCAGATTTTCTGTGGGGCATGAAGTCGGATGGATAGCTTTATGTTGCTTCCTGTGCCCTCTGCCAGCAGCGGGCGGTGCCTGAGGAGGAGACGCCGGCCGAGAGAGAGAGAGAAAGAGAGAGAGAGGAGGGCAGTCTGAGCGCCGCTAATGAGCTCATGTATGAAACATGAGGAGATGCCCCCCCGCAGCTGCAGAGCTCTGAACACAATAGGATGCACTTATATCAAAATGTGCAGCATATATATACGTGCACAAGAGCTGTAACGTTTAATACAACCCCCCTCTTCACTTATACACACACACACACAGTTCTGATTCACTGCTGAAATAGGAAGAATGAAACATCTTCTTCTAGTGTTTTTGTGCTTCACAGAATCATGTCGGCTACATTTTTAGACTTTTTCTGTAAATTAAAATATGAATTTCAAACAATGTTAATATTAAACGTTCCTCAGTTTAGGGTGACCTAGTGGTCCCGCTATGTGCCGGACTGCTCAGTCCGGCACATAGCGGACTGCTCATTTTCATCACTTGTCCCACATCCCGCTGATTGAGACTATATCCCACGTTTAAT